ATAAGTGCCTGTTACAAATACCACATTTTGTGAAATAAATTGTAAATGTTTTACACTAATATTCAGTGATTTTAAAAATAATTATTCACTATTAAAGCATCTTTTTCTTTCCCAGTTATAATTCTACACAACTTTGTCTCAGAGAACAATTTGGGAGCTTTATGGAAAAATAATTGTCAAGTAACAAACCCACCTCTCATTTTAGTCAGAGGAGACTACTTGACTCAATAGGGTATTTAGTCAAAGGGGAAAGAAAAAGATGATGAGTAAGGATTATGGCATTTATGGAGAAACCGTAAATTCTATAGCTCATGGCTTTCCACTATAGTTATAATCTCACACCGTCAGGGAGAACATCTCTCTCTCTCTCTGTCGAAGATGAGGCCAACAAGAAGGTTTGTGTCTAAGGCAAAAATTTCTCTGGGTGGCAGGTGTTAGTCAGGAGAAGACCCTTGGACACTCAAGTCAAACCACTGAGGGTAACGGCTGGGTAACCTTCAGCAAATTGCTTACCCAACTCTAAGTTGAGGATAATGGGGGTTTGTTGTGAGACTCAAATGAGATCACATATTAACTAACACCTTGGCATAGGATGTGACACACAGTAAGTACTCAAGAGATGTGAGCTACAAGAGAAATGTTAGATATAAGGTAAACACTAGCTCCAAGGGGCAGTTCGGGAGACTTCTTGGCAAGTGAGAACCAGAATAAACTAACTACTTCCAGCCCTCACCAGCCCTGCTCCACATCCCCTTTCTAGCATCCCCCACCAGACACCCAAATAATGGACATCAATGCCCTTCCAAAAAGAGCCCTGGATAGTAGTGTGCTTCCAGGAGGCAATTTACGTTCCACACAGGGTGCCTTTCTAGCCAGACTCAACAGGAAGAGCACCTCGAGTTCACAGGAAGTTTACTATCTGTGCACATTTTGAGGGCAAATATCATGAATCTATATTGTGATCTTCTGCTACCCACTAGATGCTGGGCATCTCAACTAATGCTTTCAGATTCATTATGCCATTTAATCCTCAGACCAACCCAATTGGTGTAGAATCGTGGGTAATGTGACATAATATAGAGTTCCAGAATCATTATCCCCATATTAAAAATTAGCGTGTTGGCATAGGGGGGTGATAAATCATGCCCCAGGTCACACATCTAGGAATTGGCAGGCCAACAGAGTTCATGGGCAAAAATTACTCCCATTTGTCCCATACCATTTTGACCTTCCATGACCCCTTCCACAGAATATGCCAAAATGGATGCTACACTTCAAACTGAGGCACATAGTTCATCTCCTTCTTATTTGGATGTCCCTGACGGGAGGAGTTGTGAGTTGAGTTCTGACACTACTCCTTGGCAGACAGTCAACCTTAGGCAATTTAATAAACCTTTCTAAGCCTCTGTTAACTTCCCTTAAAATGGAGATCATAACAATACTGACTTTAGGGGGTGTTTGTGAAGGTTAAATGAGATGGCTGGGAAATGTGTAGCACACTGAAGAGCTCCCTTAGAACCAGTATAATCTGGATGGCAGCGCTCCTGGCTGTGTTTGGGTGAGCACGTGAGGCAGGGTGACACTACCAAGTCAAGCCCTAACACTTAAAAACTTGAAATGTTCAAATTGGGCGTCTGGGCCATATCATATTTATATCACACTGGGCTTTTGCCCCTCTGAATACTGGTGCCACTAACACCTCTGCTTATACTCAGGAGTGTGTCATGCCTGCACCCCCCCCCACATACACATACCCTTTATTTAGCATACAAAGAAGCAGATCCGGCTAACAGTTAAAGAAGCCAGCACTGAAATCCAGAAGAAAAGACACAAATAGCTCTAGATGTCTGGGCAGACTCAGTTCTGGCTATGCCTTAGGAAGGAACAGAAGTCCGCATCACAGGCATTCACTCTTGAATACCAGACCTGCTTCTCAGATGGGTTCCTGCCTTCTTGGGATGTGAGAACCTACAGAATAAATATGACCCAACCTCCAGAGTATCAGTCCTACGTGCATATTTGGGAGTAGAATTAAGTTAATAAAGTGGCGATCTAAGATTTTATTTCATTAAACACATAGTATCAAAATTAAATACTAATCTTTTTTAAATACTAAAATTAAATTTAAAACAAATATTAAAACAAATGTGTTATAGAATAGAATGCAGAATTTACATTAATTTTTAAATGCAAGACTAGTCCTTTATGGAGGACTAGTTTGGGCTAGGCCCCTAGACCTCTAGGTTTTTTCATGTTCGCTATCCTACATGCCCTTTAAGAAAAACCTGGTAGAAAAATTACTTTTTTAATGATGTTCTTTATGATCATTTTTTTGTTCATGATGTTCTTTAGTGAAATTAAACCAATTTCTGCTGACAAAATCCTATCTAGGACCTTAAAATCACACAAACTCATGTCTCTGAAAGATGGAAGAATTATACTCCTGGGGTTCCTCTTAATATTCATCAAAGGGGAAGTTTTAAAAAGGCAACCATCCTCAGATGGGTAATTGGCCAATTTAAATATTTCATGGAATTACATTTTCATGCAAAATTGACAATTTCAATTCGGTTTTATGGGATCTTATCAACAGTTTCATTACAACCATGTTCCTTTAAATAGTTGCCTTTGGCAATGCAAGGACAGAAGGTATTTCTTCTATGTTGGAGGGGTAAGTAGACACCTTCATGACTCCACTTAAGATCAGTATTTCAAGAGTGTTTGAAAAAGGAAACTGACAGACCAGCATTATTCATCTGCAGAACATCCCTACCGCCACTCCTTCTCCTTCTTCTACTGACTTCAGAAGACATGAAGTTGCACAAAGTCTGAGCTCATGAAAACCTTCATTCTAATACTCATTCTCCAAGTAGGTACAAAAACAAGTCTGTGGAACCCCTTTTGAGAATGTTGCAATAAGATGTTCTTGTCTATATATAGGACTTCGACTTTTCTGGACTAGAGAATTATATTTTCAAACTACATTAAAAGAATGATTGTAGGGGGGAAAACAAGGGCATTGTCAAAAGGTAGTGACCAGCCTACTCAGGATGGCACCTCCTGACTTATTTTTACTATCTTTAGTTTTACAGATGTAAGAACTGAGGTTAAATACCCTGCCCTGGGTCACAAGGCTGGTGGTGGGTCACAAACTGGGACTCAAATCCTCATCATAATGAAGAGTGCAAGAAATGGCAGATTAAAAGTTTGGAAGATGGAGGGTTGGGAGTGGGGAGTTGAAACTGTGGCTTAAAAAGTTAAGCAATGCAAACAGAAATTCATCCAGAAAAAAAACCTTCAAGTCCTTTGAATTCATTCCATAATCAGTCAGTCCCATTGGATTACACAGGCCTGAGCCCAGCATGAGGGATAGTCCCCTCCCACCTGGGGAGCTCACAGCTTAGCTGGGGCAAGACCTACCTAGGAAGTGTTCATTAAAGCAGCCAGGGATTAAGTGGCCATAAAGACAGGAAACGGGTTGCACCAAGAATCTGGGTGCTGTGAGTTGCTGGTCCCAATCTGCTAACTCAGCCACCAAGCCTTCTCCTACCTGCCAGGGGCCCCCACCTCTTGGGCTCCATCACTTCTTACCTGGATGGCAGGAGCCCCCACATGCCCCCCGTCTCCCTGCCTCTGTCCTGGTTTGCTTTTCATTCACCTCATACCTACTTGCAGTGGCTTTCTGAGTCTGAGACCTCACCTCTGGATACAGTCCCAGATCCTGAGCTCCTCAGCTTCATCTCTGCCCCCTCCCCCAGCTCCAGAGGTGTCACCAGATTCCTTGGGGACCCCAGTCCACCTAGAGTTCTCTTCCTCCCAGGTGGTGCCCTTGGGAAAGATCTCCTTCCTGCAAACATAGACCAAGCATCCTTTCCACTAAGGGGCCTTCTCAGGACCCCACCCCGACCCAGAGCCTCCTAAGGCCAGGGCTTTTCTCTGGCTCCTCAGGCATCAAGCAAGGTCATCATTACCGGGAGCAACACTCACCATTTCCAAAATCACTTTCTCTGGGAATGGCAGAATGGGCCGCAGCAGCCAGCTGGGCCGACACCAGAAGGCAGTGCAGGGTCCGAGGGGACAGGCGGCCACGTGCAGCCCCTGCCCGAGATGGGGATAGGGAAGACAGGCTGCTGCTGCTGAGTCGCGAATAACCTCGCCTTCCTTCTCGCACATGGTCTTGTGTCTGGCAGTGCTTGTGTCTCAACGCGGCGATCACGTGTATCGATGGCGCTGTGATCACCAGAAGGGTCAAGGAACATGGAATCGAAACGGAAAGCAGTCCCTTCCTCGCCAAGAAACAAGCACCCACACCCACAAGGCCACCCAGCCTGGCAGCATAGAGGGTACCCACCCCCGCCGCCGTGAGGGCGGCTGGCCAGGCATCTGTGGGGGCACCCACTCAGGGACCTTCCCGGGCATCCTCGCAGAGGTAAGCGGCTGTGTCCCATCCGTCCCGCGAATTCCACCCCTGAGCTCCCATGCTGTCACCTATTTAGGCTCGCGTGTGATCATAAAATCAAGGCTACTAAATCGGGAACCCTTTTGCTGCTACCTGTTAACCTTATGTAGAAGTCGAGTTATATTTTCAAGTGCAAGGCGAGGGGCCCGCGGGTCTCTGGGCGCGGCTGCCCAGGAGGCCACGGTCAGGGTTCCCCCAACCCCCGAGCCAAAGGCGGGAGCAGCGGCTACGGCTTAGCTGGACCACGACGGGGCTCCATGCGTAGGCGGGGCCACCGCGGTGGGCCCAGACGTGGGGCGGGGACGTCTGCGCGGAGTGGGAGCAGGCCTGGCAGCTGCTGGGCACAGGACACCAGCACTGGTCCTCATGGTGAGACGGGGCGCGCGGACGGGGCGCTGGGCGTTGGCATTGGCCGCCCCGGCCGTTGGCTGAGCGTGGCCTCTGAGCAGGTCGGTGGGCACAGGCTCGCTCAAAGGCCAGGCCTGTCCGGGGACAGCGGGAGAGACTGAGCAGGCCGTAAGAAGTTAGGAACCGCGCAAAGATGGCTGACAAAGGCAAAAAGGGCAAAGGGGCCCCAGCCCCAGCCCCAGCCCCAGCCCCTGCTCCGGCAGCACCTGCTCCGGCGGCACCGTTGTGGGCAGCGCCCCCTCCGGCCCCCGCATCCCCAGACAAGAAAGATGACAAGGAGGCAAAGCCCAAGTCTGTGCAGCCCAAGGTTGAAGTGGGCAAGAGGAAGGGGTGTCACCGCTACAGGTGGGAGTTCAAGGACACCAATAGGGAGTTCTGGATGATGAGGCATGCCGAGGTCGTGGTAAGTCGGGCTGGTATCTCTGGGCAAGGGCCCAAGGACAGGAAGAGAAGGAGAAGCAGCCTCCAGAGGGGCTACAAAGTCGATAAGAGCCCTTTGCAGTGGCTCACACACATATCTCCCAGCAGGGCTGCCTAGTAGCTTCACTGATGCTTTTCACGGGGACCACCATCCACCCTCTCCTGACACTCATCGTCACCATGAAGCTGCCCATCTTCTGCTTTTTCTTGGGTATCTACACCTTCGCCATCCAAATATACATGCCCTTCATCCTGTGGCCCATTTCTGTAAGTGAGGGTATGGTGGGGAGTGCCCGGGCTGTTGTACAAGTGTGTCTGGGCACCTGCAAAGTGACTCAGAGAGACAGAGCTCACCTCCCATATTTGTGCCCAGGTCATGGCCTCAGCACCACAGGTGGGGCAGGGACAGCTGAACTTAGGTAGATAAGGTTAGAAAAAGCCCAGTTTGGGGACCGGGGGTGGAGGGCCACTTACCAACCTGGTGGTCAAAGATAGAAGTCTTTGCTGTCCTTGGGAGGAGAGGAGGCGGGAACCACCAGCTGTCCCTCCCAAGCCCTGTGCCAGCTCACACCTTACTGGGGAGATCACCCCAGCAAGTACCCCATCCCCAAATTCAAAGAAAATCAATCTTCCCATAAATAAGTAATATAAAATGAGAATTTTTAAAAAAATCACTTCTAAAGCAGCCTTAGCTCCCCAGTGACTACCTCTGTGAAGGATGTTCAGCCCAGAAGGATGTTCAGCCCAAAGCAACCATCCATTGGAATGACCAAGCCAGGCAATTTACTCCACCACTCACAGCCTGTTTCCTCATGTGACATAAGATGGTACTAATAGACCAAGGGATTATTCCTGAGAGGAAATGTAGAGTACTTGGCACTGTGACTGAGGACTCATGGACTTGAATCCCTGCCTATCACCTGTATGATCGCAGAGCCCACCCCCAAACCCCCACCTAATCCGAGGTCCCTTGTATACTGACACTCCCAGCGTACCTCCAAGACCCCATGCTCGAGTTTCACTCACTTTACACATGAAACGGATGCAGAATGGCCAATAACTTGCCCCCAGGTAACTCAACAATTAAGTGGCAGAAAAAGGATTCAAACCCAGCTCCGCCAATAGAGTCTTAGGTCCCTAACTATACTCTGGCCTGCCTCCTTGTTAAAAGTTACTAGGGTCCAGGGATCCATAGTTCTCAGTGGGGTAGGTGGAGACCCCCAGTACAGAGAGAAAGGAGAAGAGGTCCCAAGAAGACTCGGCAGAGGAACCAGTTCGCAGTCAAGGAGCCTGAGTAGATACTTAAAGTTCCAGCAAGATGAAAAATAAGTGAACCCTGAAAATCATCCTGCTGCACTTACCTAAAACTACTAAGGAAAATGTAAACATGAAAGCTTTAACTAAATGGCCGAGCTGGCAAAAAAGAAAGGGAAAGACACAAGTGCCAGCAATGGAAAACAGAAGCAGTGGTCAAATAAACTGCTGAAGTGTGGGTTGGAATGGTCCATAAGGAATTATTCCAGGAACCTACAACATGGATTATCATACACTCTCAAGTTAGGAGATGAAGCCCTGGTTCTAAGCAAAGTGGGGATTTACTGAGAACTCTGCATAAAGCCAGCATCCTGCAAAATCTTCACCCTTAGGGAAAAGACAGAAAAGACACTATTTCCCTCACAGAGAGGAACAAGAAAGGATGTTCATTTCTACCTGAGCTTTGAGTAGTAAAAACAATAAAGACCACATTGAGAAATAGAAACCTTGAGCTTATACTTTGTACAGATTTGAATTTTTACTACCGTCAGCCTAAAAACCCTCACGCAGCCTAGAAAAAGTCATGCCTTGGAATCAGCAAAAAAAACTTTATCCCAAACTGGTGATATTCTGATGATATCTTTGGGTCTCCTGACAGAAACAAATGTAGAATCACATTCAAAGCCTAGAGAGATTCCCGTGTGTGGACAGCGTATGTATGAATGCAGGGGCAAAGGGTGGAAGGAGAGCCTTGTCAAAAATGAACTCACAGTTTAAAACTACAAAATACCTTATTTTGAAATCCCCATGACTAAGAATCAAGAATCAACAAACATAACAAATGGGAGGATTAGACCTTGAGTATGTAAGACAATAAAAGAGCTATCTGAAAATAATAAAAAACATACTTAAAATTAATAAAGACATAAATAAGCGCTCTAAGAGTAAGACCTTATGAGGACAGAGCAGACAGATTTTTTTAAATTAAAGTATCATTGATAATACAACCTGATGTTGGTTTCAAATATACAACACAGTGGTTCAACAGTTACCCATATTATTAAATCTTTAACCCCACCCCCAGGGTGATCACTATCTATCAACATAGTAAGATGTTACAGAGTCATTAACTTTTAAAAAGTGCAAAATAGAATGTCTAGAATTGAACATATAGCTATTGAAAAAAAATCAACAGATGGGTTAAAAAGCATATTAGACAAAGCTGGAGAATTAGTGAACTGAAAGATGTGGAGAAATTACCCAGAATATAGCATGAGAGATATAGAAAATATGAGAGAAGCTGAGAAACAGAATATGGAATGAGAAAGTCCATCATAAGCCTAATAGGAGTTCCAGAAGAGACTCAAAAGAAAGGAGGAGAGGAAATATTAAAAATGATAATGACTGAGAACCCTCTAGATTTAATGAGGGTGACATTAAGAATGTCAGAGTAGGGAATTCCAAAACTCTGTCTCTGTACTAAAGCAATGATTAATTAGGCTGTCCAAAAATTGTCAGGATCAACTTTTTCAGAACTCTGGAATCTAACAAAAGACCTAGCATCAACCAGGGGAATGCTTAATAAAGAAAGAAGCTACTGAAGTTTGGTGAGAGAGCACTGGAGCATTTTAACTTTCCCACCTGCCATCCCTCACTCCCCCCAGCTTGTTCATAATTCATGAACAAACAGAGAAAATATCAATAAAGAGAAATTATAAAAAGGAACAAAATAGAAATTCTGGAACTGAAAAGAATGTAACTGAAAAGAAAAATTCACTAGAGTGGTTTAATAGCCAATTTGGGCAGGCAGAAGAATGAATCAGTGAACCTGAATATAGGCCAACTGAGATTACCCAATCTGAGGAACAGAAAGAAAAAAGAGTGAAGAAAAAATTAACAGAGCCTAAGAGACCTGTGGGGCACCACCAAGCCGACTAACACACGTGGAATCCCCAAAGGGAAAGAGAAAGGGGCAGAAAGAATATTTGAACCATGGCTCCAGCTTTATATCCTGATGGCTATCCAGTTGCTCCACACTATCATATGATTTATTCCTTTATTAAACAGCACATCTTTTCCCCACTGATTTGAAAAGGCATTTTTGTTAAATGCTAAAATCTCATACGCAGGGTTCACTTTGGCACTTTATATTCAGTTCCACTGTCTGTCCTTTTTTCTTTTTTTTAAGAAAAGGCTTTATAATATGTTGTACTATCTAGTAGGGCTTTGATCTTGAGACCAGACAATATAAGGAGAGTGAGTTATAGGTGTATCTTATTTGAATATAGCCATGAAAATCCTCAAAATATTAACAAATTGAATCAAGCTAAAATATAAGTAAACAATACATCACAATCAAGCAGGATATTCACCACAAATGCAAAGATGATTTAGCCTTACAAATTCTATTAATATAATTCACCATCTTTTATCTAAAGGAAAAAATTTTCTTATAAACTACATAAGAACTATTCAGTAAAATTCAATACTAATTTTTAGAAAACTTGGCAAACTAGGGAAAAAGGGAACTTCCTTATCTTCTGACCCAGACCTACAATAAACATTGCATTTCACAGTTAACTTAAAGATGCCTACTATCCCTACTTTACACCAACATTCTGCTGCAGATCTTAGTCAATGTGAGAAGAAAATGATACATGGATTGGGAAGGGGGAAAAATGAGCACAACTTGCAGATAATATGATTCTCTATACAGAAAATCTAAGAGAATCTACAAATTACTAGAACTGATTGAGTTCCACAAGCTCCCAGAGACAAAAATGGTAATGTTTCGGAATACCAGCAACAAACAATGAGAAAAAGAAAGCACTTAAAACAGCAACAGAAACTACAGGGTGTCTGAAAATAAAACTGCTCAAAGATATGTAAGCCTTTATATAGATATTTTAACATTTTATTAATGGACATAAAAGAAAATTCTAAATAAGTGGAGAAATATACCACCATCACAGATATAAAGAGCTGTTATCATAAAGATGGCAGTTTTATTCTGAAGCAATTAATAAATTAAATGAAATTTCAACCTAATCAAGTGGTTTATGGAACTTTACAAGAGAGTTCTAAAATTCTTAGGGAAGAATAAAAAGAATTACAAAGATGGACTCATCCAATCAGATATCAGAATTACTATAAACTTTTGGTGCTAGCTGAAGGATTGACAAAAAGACTAACGGACTTGTTATGGACTGAAAGTTTGAGCACATGGACCCAAAATTCATATTCTCAAATCCTAACACTCAGTGCGGCTGCACTTGCAGATGAAACCGGTAGGTAGTAATTAAGATTAAAGGAGCCACAGAGTGTGGCCTCAATCTGATAGGATTAGAGTCTCTATAAGAAAAGGCAACAGAGAGCTCTCTCTCCCTCCCTCTTCTTCCCCCACCACCCTCTAGATCTCCCTCCTCCCCAGCTGCACCTTGTGTACCACTGAAAGGCCATGTGAGGACACAGCAAGAAGGCAGCCATCTGCATAACAGGAAGAGACTTTCATCAGAAACTGAATTTACTGATACCTTGATCATGGACTTCTAGCCTCCAGAACTGTGAGAAAATAAATGTCATTTGTTTAAGCCACCCAGTCTGTGGTATTTTGCTATGGCAGCCTAAGAAGACTAATACAGGAATAAAAAAGAGAACTCACACATGGAACATTTTCCAGAATAGACCAGATACTAGGCCACAAAAAGAGCCTCAGTAAATTCAAAAAGATTGAAATTCTACCAACCAACTTCTCAGACCACAAAGGTATAAAATGAGAAATAAATTGTACAAAGAAAA